AAGGAAACGGTTGCTAATAATATTAAGAATAGGAATTCAAATGCAAATGCAAATTTGGAGCTTGTGCTTGAACTTTATGATAAGATGTTGAATATCCAAAAGGTTATTTCCTTTTTCGTTTTCTGATTCACGAATATTCAAAATTAGTCCTATAAATTGAAAGGGATGATACTTATTTTAAATTCAAATCAGTTAGTTAATTGGCAGTGACAGATTGCACGAAGTTGAGCGGCTTCGAGGGGAAAGGAATACTGTTGAGAACAAGATGAAAGGCAAATTGGAACCTTCTGAACGTCAAAAGCTCGTTGAAGAAGGTATTTGCTCAAATGTTTTGCTGTTATTTGCTGTCATTTTTGCGGTCTCATTGCCTTTTTCTTCTATGTTGGTTTTCTTTTTCTTTTGTGGTTTTGAGAGTCAGGAAAGAAGCTGAAGGAAGCACTTACGACTTTGGAAGAAGACCTTATCAATTTAAGAGATGTGCTTCAGCTTGAAGCGCAATGTATACCAAATATGACTCACCCGGATGTTCCAATTGGAGGGGAAGATAGTTCAAAGTTGACGAATATGGTATATATTGATTTGATCGTTTTCTTGTGTTTTTAGTCATTATATGTTATTTTTCTAGTGTTTGCATAAAACTTTGATGTTCAGCTAGTGTTATTCTAGGTTGGAAGCCCCCTTAGCTTCGACTTCCCTGTCAAGGATCACCTTCAAATTGGAAAGGAACTGGATCTCTTTGATTTTGCTGCTGCTGCTGAGGTATTCCTGTTTGGTCCAGGAAATTAAAGCATCTCTAATTTGTTTGTGTTTTATCAAGGATTTTAGTGGGTGATTTAAGTTACATTTGGTTGTTTAACTGTGTTCTTTAGTTGATTCATTACCTTCCAGTAATTCAGCCCATGTGATACTTGTGCAGTTTGTGACTGCACTATTAGCAAGTAAATAATCTTGATACTTAACTGAGTTGCCTCTTGAAATTTGTGTCTCGCATTGAAATAATAAATATAATGTGTTTTTGTTATATTAAACTGTGCAACTCATATGGAACCTTGTTATGTTAAAAAGTTTTTGTTACTTTTTATCAAATGGAATCATATATTGAGTTGCATGCTTGAAGCATCTTTGATTTTCAAATGACGAAGGTACTAAGTTTTACTTATACTTCTTGTTGCATAAGGTAGGTGGTTCAAAATTTTATTACCTCAAGAATGAAGCAGCGATGCTGGAAATGGCCCTTGTCAACTGGACACTGACAGAAGTCATGAAAAATGGCTTTACACCACTAACAACACCTGAAATTGTCAGGTCATCTGTTGTTGAAAAATGTGGCTTCCAGCATGTGGAGAAAATACGCAGGTTTGCATTATTTTGGATGTAGTCCCTTTTCCAGAAAAACAAGTGGTGCTTGCTGTATCAAACATCAAGTGCCTACCATTTTTGCACAAATCACCATCAAAGTTGATGACAGACATAATGAACCACTTTGATCATGAACTGGACAAATTGCTATGATTCAGCTTGAATTGGGGGCTACTAAATTTTTTATTGAACTTTTTGAATCTTCCCATTCATATGTTCTGATAGTAGAATACTTGATTTCTCCAAAGTAACTTTTTCAAAATTGTGAATTTCACGTTAATTTAGTTAGTATTTCACAGCAGTTTCTTGATACTTATTTCAAATGCTAAACAGGTTTATTCCATTGAGGATAGTGACCAGTGCCTAATTGGCACTGCAGAGATTCCTTTAGGGGGGATTCATATGGACTCTATTGTTTCGGAGTCCTCTTTACCATTAAAATATGTGGCATTTTCTCATTGTTTTCGTACTGAGGCTGGTGCTGCTGGTACAGCAACGAAGTGATTAGCTATCTTGTGTTCCATTTTTATTTTACCATCTCTGACTATAGTCCCTGTATTTGACAAATGGTGAAGAAATGTTTTCCAGGGGTCTTTATGGGGTACGCCAATTCAGCAAGGTGGAAATGTTTATTTTGTGCAAACAAGATGACCTCTTTTCATCTCTAGGATTGCATTATAAGTATGGATTCTCATGAGCCTTTTACCAACTCTACTGGTTTTGTTCTGCCATTTGTGACACTATTTTGCTTTCTGGCAGAACTTTGGTTATGGCCACGGGGGACCTGGGTGCTCCTGCTTATCGTAAATTTGATGTAGAGGCGTGGATGCCAGGTTTAGGACGCTATGGCGAGGTATTAAATTTAAAATAACCTTTTGCTTCCCTATGACAAGTTAAATTTCCATGTTGATTTCTTTCGCTGATGCTATCCCTTGAAATATGAAACAATTCTGTTTGCCGAGTATTTTGAAATATCTTTGAATCTTTTGGGATAGGAAATACCTTTTTAATCTTAGGTATAAATGTAACGCATTTCTACAAACAGATATCAAGTGCTTCGAATTGCACCGACTATCAAAGCCGCAGACTTGGCATTAGTTATCGTCCATCGGAATCACCCACAACAACTTCCAAAAAGGGTAAAACAAACTAGGCTGCACCCAAATTTGTTCATACATTAAATGCAACAGCATGTGCAGTTCCGAGGATGCTTGTATGTTTGCTGGAGAATTTTCAGCAAGAAGATGGGTCGGTTATTATTCCAGATCCATTAAGGCCATTCATGGGTGGAATTGAAGCTATATATCCTAAATCTAGATAAGGAAGAAGACAAGGAGGAAGACATAGAAAAAGCAAGTTTCCTTCTTTCTTAAGAATTGGGGAGCGATTGATATTTTTGAGATATTTTTCTTTTTAGAAATTATTGCCTTTTGATGTATACAGAGTGCAATAACATTAGTTACTGACAGTTCTGGTTTGAACGTTAGTACACCTAATTGCTTAATGAGTTTGTTGAGACTGCGGATTTAACAAACCGGCTTTACTACATGCCACATGGGTGCTTTAGCCATTGAAGCATTCGTTTTCAAAATCAGGAACAACATAGTTTGGCAACTTCTCCTGCATCACAACATATTTTCCAGTTAAAGCCCAAACAAAAACACAGATAAATTAACAACTCAAGCAGGTAAATCTCAATGTTTCATGAGACACTGGATCTGGAAAGTTCGTGCGGAACTTGTATTTGGCAGTTTCCATCACATGGTTGTTGAGACGGTATTTTCAAGGGCGAAAACAAGTGTCGTTATTTTTTAAATCCCGTCTCGAAAAAATAAGTTTTTCTTATGATATAAGATAAAACACAAATTTGAAGAGTCACCACCAATCATTTATCGAGGTATGATTGATCACCAAAAATACTATGTTATTTTAATAAAATTTTTAAAAATATTATTAAAATAACACAAAAAGGGTCTGCTTACTAGAAAATGTGTTCGGGAGTCGATTACGTGTGGGGAATGATTAACACTCTCACAACGCCTAAAATTGATACATTTATTTATTAATTAATGTCTTTGCAGTAAAATTTATAAATTTGAATTTAATTTAATTTTTTATCCCATAAAAAACAATAAGGATATTATTTTATATCAATAAATTATTTAAAAATATATTCCTAATCAATTAAAAAAATATTTTAGAATTTATTGTATAAAATAATATAACCTGATTACGTATAATAATTTTAATGAATTAATCAAGAAAATATAAAAATTAAAGTTACTATTATAAGTACTTTATATTTTAAATAATCCTACAATCTTATCTAAAAAATTAAAATTATTAGACTAAATTATAAAATATAAAAATTAGAGGTTCATTTGAAATACGATAATAGTCAAAATATTACTAAAATTAAAATATTAAAGATTAGGGATTAAAATAAAAATTATCAAAATTTAGGAATTAAATTTAATATTTACCCTAAATATATATGTGCATGATTAAGTGACTAAAAATAAATAAAATAAAATTATAGATTCGAATTAAAATGCATAAAATATGATTTCAATGACTAATATAGAAATTTATAAAATCTCAAGGATTGCAGACATAGTTTACCCGTGACTTAAATTACATAAATACCCCTTCCTCAAAACGACGTTGTTTGGAGAGGGGTATTTTTATACCCAAATTCTCTCTAAAAATCTCTCATCGGAGAGAGTCCGGTCACCGACTGGCAGCCTCCTGCCGCCGTCAACAACCACTGTCGGCCATCACCCACGATGGCCGAAATTTACAAACTTACCCCAAAATGCCCCTCTTTTCCACCTAAACTCAAATCTAACCTTTTTAGTCCTAAAAACCCCTCAAAATTAGTAGATCTAAGCAATAACCGAAAGTTTTACCTCGGTTTACACAAAGGTTTCCGGAGGCATTTGGTCTCTTTGAGGGTAAGCTGCTTATTCTCCTCTTCTTTCTCGTTGTTTCTCAGTTGGTGTGTTGGTTGTATATTTCTTCCTTGTTGGTTCGATCTCCATGTTGGTGTCCTCCTCCTTGCTCTCCCTATCTTTGCAGGATTTCAAGGCTTTTTATAGTCCTCGATGAGCTATTATTATACTGAACCCTTCAGTGAGTCACCGGATCTACGATGGTGACTCACCGTAGCTTCGATGAGTTGTGCAGTCCTCTTTGCGTCTTTGGAGCCTTCGGTGGCGTGACAGAACTTAGTTGGGGAACATAACGGCGGAGGAGTTGGATGTAGGCGGCAGAGCAGTTGGATATAGGTAGCGTAGCAGTTGGAGGCAGCACCAAAGTCTCTCTAGGGTTGGTGAACCCTAGGATTTCTGCTGGATTCATTCTGGGCCGTTGGATCTCTCCAGATCCAATGGCTGAGCTTGTTGGTTGCTGAAGAATTGGGTTCTTTGGGTCGGATCTGGTCTTGTTGGGCCTTCGATTTATTTGGGCATGCTGGGTTATTTGGGCTTGGATCATTTTTGGGCCTGACTAGGGTTGAACTTGTAAACGGGCCTCCGGGTCCTGATTTGTAAATATCTACTATAATAAAATTTATTATCTATTAATAATATTTATAATAATAATACAATAATAATATATAAATAATAATATAAATAATAACATGATGAAAATGACTTTCAACAGTTGTCCATCTTTGTTCATTTTTGTTTTAACAAGAATAGAATAAAGACAAAAGACAAAGAATTTTCGTCCAGTTGATTTTATGCTTTGATGAGAGATCCGCTTTATTCAAGGGAAATCAAACTAGTGTATGACATTGTTCCTTCGTGATGAGGATGTCTAGCCATCTTTAAAGATATTTGAGATAACTCGGTTCCTTCGTGATGAGGACATCTGTCTATCTAAGGATGATGCTGCTCCTTTATGATGAGGAATTTTGATCAATGGATGATATTGTTCCTTCGTGATGAGAACGTCTAGCCATCTTTAAAGATATTTGAGATAATACAGTTCATTCGTGATGAGGACATCTGGTTATCTAAGGATGATGATGCTTCTTCGTGATGAGGATTTCTGATCGGTGGATGACATTGTTCATTCATGATGAGGACGCCTGACCATCTTAAAAGATATTTGAGATAACACGGATCCTTCGTGATGAGGACATCTGGTTATCTAAGGATGATGCTACTTCTTCGTGATGAGGAGTTCTGATCGGTGGATGACATTGTTCCTTCGTAATGAGGAAATCTGACCATCTTTAAAGATATTTGAGATAACACGGTTCCTTCGTGATGAGGACGTCTGGTTATCTAAGGATGATGTTGCTCCTTCGTGATGAGGAGTTATGATCAATGGATGACATTGTTCCTTCGTGATGCGAATGTCTGGCCATCTTTAAAGATATTTGAGATAACTCGGTTCCTTCGTGATGAGGACGTCTGGTTATCTAAGGATGATGTTTCCTAAAATATCAACAAATGATGCATTTATGAATATCATGATCCTATTTATGCCTAAAATGTTTACAATGATGCAATTTTAGTTCATTTTCTTTTTCGAATAAGGACCCTTTCTCATTGGCCATCTTCTGACTCATTTCATTTTGGGTACATCAAACAAGGACGATTTACTTCAACTGAATATCTTGATCTCATCTTTAATCAGATATAGTCTTTTCTTTCTTCTTGAACCTCGCTAGTACCAATGATCAACTATTCCATATGTGACAAATATTTTGGATCATCTTCATACGATTGAAACTTTCTAGGTACTTCAAATTTTATTTTCCATGTATCAATGTCATTATACAATCTTGAAAGTTGAAATCATTATCAATTTCAGAAAACCTGCATTTAAAAAAACTTTTTGTACAATAATACACCATAATTTTATGTACTTCAAGTTAAACTACATATTTTAAATTTTCAAAGTAAAATGCTTGCAAAAATGAGAGTTAACAAGAAAAGTCTCTTTTTATTTATACAAATTTAAAGAGTTTTTAAATAATTACATGGCAAACTTTTATTGAAAAATGTACAAGAAAAAGTAGTAGGCATCTTCACATATCAATAGCATAAATACTTCTGAACTGGCACGCCGCAAAGTGATTCAAGTGTAGCTTCTGTCAAAAGGATTTCGAGAATAGTGATAATACCTAAGGATGTAAAATATCTTCTTGACTATCAAATCTCCAGATGTTATGCATCCTTAACAAAGAATAAACAATTTCAAACATGAATCTTGAATTATAACACTCAAGTCGCCCTTTACTGGTTTTCAACTTAAGAACTCATTTGGTTTCAAGATATCATTTTCGGATTTTCATCTTGAACCCTCTTTTTTTCAATTAAGCAAAATACTTTTTAACCACATCGGAATTCACTGGGTAGGGTAATTCTAGCCCGTCCATCTCAGTGAGAACTAGAACTCCTCCAGAAAAGGTTTTCTTTACAATATAAGGTCTTTCCCAATTTGGCATCCATTTTCCTCAGGAATCCTTTTGAATATGTAAGATCTTTCTAAGTACGAGATCTCCTTCCTAAAATTCTCGGAGGCGAACTTTCTTATCATTTACTCGTATCATCCGCTTTTGGTACATCTGACCATGAAAAATAACTTTCAGTCTCTTTTCTTCAATCAAATTTAACTGGTCGTATCTGGCTTGTACCCATTCTGCTTCATTTAGTTTTACCTCTGATAAAACTCGAAGTGAAGGAATTTCTACCTTAATAAGTAGTACAACTTTCATTCCATAGGCTAACAAAAATGGAGTTGTCCCAGTCGATGTTCGTACTAACGTTCTATAAGCCAACAAAGCAAATGATAGTTTCTCATGCCCATCTTTATAAGTTTCAGTCATCTTCTCTATAAGCCTCTTGATATTCTTATTAGCTGCCTCAACTCCTCCATTCATCTTTGGGCGATAGGTAGTGGAATTATGATGCTTTTTTTAATTGCTCACAAACTGATTTCATCATCTTGTTGTTTAAATTCAAAGCATTGTTAGAAATAATCCTTTCTGGTAGACCATATCGACAAATGATTTCCTTTTTCAAGAATTTACAGACTGTAGTATAAGTGATGTTTGTATAAGAATTTGCTTTTACCCATTTGGTAAAATAGTATATTGTTACCAAAATGAAGCGATGACAATTTGAAGCTTTTGGGAAAATTTGTCCAATAACATCTATGCCCCACATAGAAAATGGCCACGGAGCTGTCATCACATGCAATGGATGAGGAGGGGTATGCATTTTGTCTCCATAAATTTGACATTTATGACATTTTCGGGCATAATTGATACAATCAGTTTCCATAGTTGACCAATAGTACCCAAATCTCATAATTTGTCTAGCCATTGTATGCCCATTAGCATGGGTACCACATACTCCTTCTTGCACCTCTTCGAGAATTATTTTGGCCTCTTTGGTGTCCACGCATCTCAATAGGACTTGATCCAAGCTTTTTCTGTATAGTATTTCACCATCGAGTACATACCCTGATGTCATTCTTCTGATAGTTGTTTTATCATTCTCGGTTGCCTGTTCAGGATAATTATGATATCTGATGTATTGCAAAATATCATAGTACCAGGGGTTCTCATATTCTTTTTCTTCAATGTTAAAACAATGGCATGGGTACTCATAAGCCTGCATTTCAATAGGCATCATGCTCGAATGCTCATCTACCTTGAATGCGGCTGCCAAAGTGGCCAAGGCATCTGCCATCTGGTTATCTTCTCTAGGGAGGTAATTGAATGTTACTTCTTTAAATTCTTCGATAAGTTCCACAAATCAATTTACGATATTCTACAAGCTTGGGATCTTTTGTCTCTCATTCCCCCCTGTTTTGGTAAATTACCAGGGTTGAATCCCCATATACCTTAAGCATTTTTATCTTACATTCAATGGCAGCTTTAAGACCCATAGCACATGCCTCATATTCAGCCATATTGTTTATGCAATCAAAATTAAGTCGGCTAATAAAAGGATAATGTCCTCTATTTGGTGAAACCAAGATTGCCCCAATTCCATGCCCTAAAGCATTCGAAGCACCATCAAAATTCAACTTCCAATATTCATTAGTGGATGTAGTTGATTCTTCCACTGAGATTGCCATTAAATCTTCATCTGGGAAATAAAAACTAATTGACTCATATTCTTAAGTAGCTCTACTTGCAATAAATTCAGCTATGACACTTCCTTTTACTGCTTTTTGACTTACATACTGGATATCAAATTCTGACAACAAGATCTACCAATGAGCTAACCTTCCAGATAATGCAGGTATATTCATCATATACTTCAAAGGATCAAATCTGGATATGAGCCATGTGGTGTGATATAACATATACCGCCTAAACATTCGAGTGGCCCATACCAAAACACAACACAATTTTTCAGTTGGTGAGTATCTGGTTTCATAATCAGTGAACTTCTTACTGAGATAATAAATTACTCTCTTTTTTTTCTCAGTTTGATCATGTTGTCCTAATACACACACCATTGAATTTTCCCAAATTGATAAATAGAGAATTAAGGGTTTGCCTAGAATAGGTGGTACTAAGATTGGGGTATTTGACAAATATCTCTTAACTGCTTCAAAAGCTTCATGACAATCTTCACTTCATGCCCCAGAATTATTCTTGCGAAAGAGACGAAAAATGGGATCACATTTCTTAGTTAACTGTGAGATGAATCGAGCTATATAATTCAATCTTCCCAAGAATCCTCGAACCTCTTTTTATATTTGTGGGGGTGACAAATCTTGAATAGCTTTGACTTTATCTGGATCTATTTCAATTCTTTTCTTGCTCACGACAAACCCCAAAAGCTTTCCAGATGTCACCCCAAATGTACACTTATTTGGGTTAAGCTTCAACTGGTATTTCCTTAATCTTTGGAAAAACTTTCTCAAATTCTTGATATGTTCATCCTCTGACTTGGATTTGACAATCATATCATCGACATAAACTTCTATTTCTTTATGCATCATGTCATGAAATAATGTTACCATAGCCCTTTGATATGTTGCTCCTGCATTCTTCAGCCCAAATGGCATTACTTTATAGCAAAATGTTCCCCATATGGTGACAAATGTTTTTTTCCCATATCATCAGGGTACATTTTAATTTGATTGTAACCGGAGAAACCATCTATGAATGAGAACAAAGAATTTTTAGCAGTGTTATCCATCAATATGTCTATGTGTGGAAAAAGAAAATTATCCTTCAGACTAGCTCTATTGAGATCTCGGTAGTCAATACATATACGAACTTTACCATCTTTCTTTGGTACAGGGACAATATTTGCCACCCACTCAGGGTACTTGGCCACTTTAAGAAACCCAACATCAAATTGCTTTTTTACTTATTCCTTAATTTTTAGCATCATTTCGGGTTTCATTCTTCTCAGCTTTTATTGAACAGGCTTATATTCTGGTTTTATTGGTAACTTGTGTACTACCATCTCTGTATCCAAACCTGACATGTCTTCATATGACCAAGCAAATAAATCATTGTATTCCCGAAGCAAATTAATCAAACTCTGTCATGCTTTATCAGATAAAGTAGTACCAATTTTCACGTTTTTATTATCCTCATCTGATCCCAAATTCAAGATTTCAGTATGTTCTTCATGAGGCAGAATTTGCTTATCCTTTTTTTCCACTATTTTTAACAGCTCGGAAGGTAAGTCACATATCTCATCATTATCACAACCCTCAACTTCCCCTTGACACATGGGCTGCTCAAAATCAAATTCTGTGTCAGTGTCATCAATATCCATGTTATTGATATGTGAGTTCCTGAAAGGAAAATGAACAAGAGTATATATACATATAATCATAAGAATGTATAGAAAATATTTGCCATGTGAAATTAACTGGAATGCATCTTTTATTGAAAAAGAAAAACACATAGTTTAACCCTTTACAAAAAAATCAACTATTGCCCCAGGGTATAAGCAATAGAGGAAGTTCTAGTGTATTACTCTGAAAAAGACTTAAAAACTATAGGTAATTCCTCCATAGTCCAATTATTCAATTTAAAGTCTGGTGGTGAGGGGTAAATGCCCATAGTTATCTTTTCTTCAGATTCATCATTTGATATGACATTGATGCTTAACTCTTTCAAAGCATCCCCAACTATTAGCCCTTCGTTTTGCTGATATTCTCGGAACATATGTCCTCTAGACACAAAAGTATTACTCAACAGAGGAAAAGTCATTGGTTTCCAGCTAAGATATTCTCCAGCTAACTTTGCCTTCCTCATTTCCTGATTCTTCCTAATGCTTCTCTGTTTTCCCTTACAGTCGGCTGATATCCCAAACCGAATCGATCTTTCTTAGTGATGGGAATAACTGGATTAATTGGTCCCTGCAAGTGACTTCCTAACCCTTTTTCGGCTTTTGCTCCTTTCCCCAGGGTTAATTTAAGCTCCATCTTAGTGCAATTTGAAAGTCTAGACTTGGGCATCCTTTGGCCTTCAGCCACAAATGTGGCTTTAACAAACTTCAACGATCTAAAAGAGTATTCAATAGTTTTTTCATCCAATTCAATATATGGAGCAATGATAGAGACATAAGCAATGATATCTTCTTCAACATTAAGACATATCAACCTTCCATCTATCACAAATTTTAATTTTTGGTGAAGTGTAGATGGAACTACCCCTGCCTGGTGAATCTAAGTCCTCCCCAATAAGCAATTGTAAGTGGGTATAATATCCATCACAAGGAATTCCACTTCATATGTATATGGGCCAATAGTTAAATGAATGTCAATCTTTCATAATATTTCCCTTTTGGTTCCATCAAAAGCTCGAACAATGCTCTTACTATTTCTCATGAGTGTGTTATCGACTGGTAGTTTCTTCAAAGTCACTAATGGTATTACATTTAAAGCTGAGCCATTATTAACTAACACTCGAGATAGAATATGTCCTTTTTACTTAATCGTGATATGCAAGGCTTTAGGAATACCATTCATCCTAGAGGACATTTCATCTTCAGAAAAAGAAATGAAATTGTCAGCCTGTATGTTTGCGACCAACCTATCCAGCTTATTTACCAATAATTCTTTTGGTACAAAAGTCTAATTTAACACTTTCAATAAGGCATTCTGATGTGCCTCAGAGCTTAATAAAAGTACCAAGACTGATATACGAGCAGGCAACTTATGCAACTGTTCAATAATACTGTATTCACTATGTTTGAGAAATTTCAGAAATTCTACAACTTCATTCTCAGTTACTGACTCGTTGATGACATGTTCATCTTCTCTCAACTGCA